GGGACAACGCAGGGAGCCAAGCAGCGGCTGGCAGTAGCTCCGGGCAGCGGTTTGGTGGTTCCTTCAAGCTCCAATTTCTTCAATTTCATCATCTTCTTCAACAAATTAGTAACCTTTATTTGTGAATTTTATTTTTTTTCTTCTCTAGTTCTATGTAAAAATAATTTTGTTCAATTTTACATTTTTGTTTGCTTGTTGTGTTATGAGGGGCGGCCCAATTGAATCATTCAGTAGACTTCGGGTCAGGCGCACAGGAAATACTTAGGCATGGGCCGGCCCATAATGCGAGGCCCGGTCAACTCCAACCCAAAACAGCTGGCAGAGCCAGTCCAGAGGAGAAGACAGAGCTGAATGGCGAAGACGAGGCCGGAAAAAGTGGATCGCGCCATTTACGGGATAGACTCCCTTTGATTATGTATTACCTTAACTGTCTAGAACCTATGTATAAATAGAGGAGACCCGAAAGGGGAAAATTCAAGCTGAATCAAGCTAATAATACACACCTAATTCTCAAGCTCTTGTTCTTAATTCATTTCTTACGATCCATTCTTCCGAATCGGATCATTTGGTGGATTTATTGTCCATCAAATTGGTGCTCTCATTGAGAGCTTGAGAATCATGCTCAAAGAAAACCTTCCAAGAAGGGACGAAGCGCAAAAGTTAATGGAGGAAATCCATGAAGGGATATGCTCAGCTCACCAAGGAGCTTTCACAATGTCCAGAAAGGTAACTCTGCAGGGGTATTTTTGGCCAACAATCATCAGGGATTGCGCAGAATACATGCGTAAGTGCAAGGTTTGGCAGGAGTTTCAAAAGGTGCCAGGGCGACCAGCAACAAATTACACCTCGATCAGCACGACAATTCCCTTTGCTCGGTGGGGTATTGATCTAGTCGGCATCCTGCCCAGAGGAACAGGAAATAACACGTACCTGGTGGTCGCGATCGACTACTTTACCAAGTGGGTCGAGGCCGCCCCTGTACCGACCATCACCGAAGAGCAGATGAGGAAATTTGTGTCCAAACAAATCTTGTGCCGTTTTGGGGTGCCCCAGCAGATCATCACTGATAATGGGACCCAGTTCGAAGCCAGGGGGTTCAATGAGTTTCTACAGAGCTGGGGCATAAAACATAGCTACGCTGCGGTCGGGTACCCCCAGACCAATGGGCAGGTCGAAAACACCAACATCACCATTGTGGATGGCCTGAAGAAGAAAATAATGGAATGTAAAAGTGCTTGGGTGGAAGAGTTGCCCTACATCGTATGGACCTATAGGACTAACCCAAGGAAGGCTACGGGTGAAACTCCGTTCGCGCTCACATATGGGTTTGAGGCAAGGGCTCCAGCATAGACCTCATTGCTGAGCTATAGAGTGGAAACACTTGATGCCCATGAAAACGAAGAGAACTTAAGGGCGGAGTTGCATCTCATAGATGAGCAAAGAGAAAGGGCGTACATACGGGCAAAGAATTACCGTCGGCAGGTTAAGTCGTACCGTGACCAGAGGGTGCGACCAAGGCAGTTCAGGACAGGCGACTGGTCCTAAGAAAAAGGGAGGTCAGTCGGCCGACCGACGGAGGGAAGTTTGCCAAGAGTTTTGAAGTGCCATACATCATAAAGGAAATGTTGGCCGATGGAACGCTTAGACTACAAACACCAGCGGGAGGCGACGTCCCGCGGGTATGGAATGCTGCCAATCTTATCAAATTTTATCAATAGATTGTATTCTAGCTATGTTTCTCCCTTAAAGTTTAATAAAATCAGCATTTTGGTACTTCTCTTCTTGAACTCCACCATTCAAAAAAGGGGGGGGGGGGGGGGGG